ACTTGATGTCTTTGTTTTAAGACGACGAATTGATTGAATTAAGTCGCCAATACAAAATAAGAACGGCTTAGATGGAAGTTCGAGGAGGTTTTGTGATAATGATGCTTTAAATTCATTAACATTGTGGTTTTTTGTGAGGTGTTTCAATTTCTGTGAATAATGTCGAATAGTAGTTGAAAGCATGTTAAATCATAGCATTAGTTTCAGTCAATATGGAATCATGTTCATCATTGACAAATCCTTGAATTCTAGGGATTTGTTTGTTAAAAAGAGTGCGAGTGTGTCGCCAAAATCGTTGAGTATTTTGTGGTTCGAGATTGAAACAAAATTCTTGCCATTGAGCTTTCTTAACTCTTTTACTGGGTGTCATTATATATTATCTAACGAATGGGGCAGATTAAATGGTCGCTTTTCGCGCTGCAATTTTCAATCCCTTAATACGTTGTATTAATAAAACACAAAAAAAATTAATCACAAGATATAGCGTGAAAAGTTGTACAATTTACATAAGAGCGCTTATTTTATAATTGCACTTTTTGCTTTTGAAAATGGACAAAATTTGGTGCAATCAAATTTTGACCGCTAGAAAAAGATAATTTTTTTGTTTTAAATGACGAATTCTTTTTTGGTTATCTCATCTTTTCATCACCTGATATGCTTTATTAAAAGTAAAACAGAATATACTAAAAGGTGTCACGTGAAAAGCTCTACAATACAATCTGCAAAATAAAGGTTATTTTAATTATATACCTTTTATTTTCAAAAAAAAAGCAAAATTCTATGTCACCAGCTTTCGTCATTGCGAAAAGAACATTTTTTCGACACAAACGAGAATTGCTTTTTCCTCCCTTCATCGTTTTGTCATCTAACATGTTTTCGTAAAAACAAAATACACCACAAGATGCAAGGTGAAAACCTCTAGAATCTACACAGAGTAGTTTATTTTATATATGCACCTTTTTTTTCAAGATAAACGGAATTTTGTTCGATAAATTTTCGTCGTTGCAAAAAAAAATCACATTATTTTTTTATTTCATTTTCTATCATCTTATATACCCCATAACAAAAAAGCAAATTATACCACATGATGCAGTATCAAAAGCTCTACAATTTACACAATAAAGCCTATTGAAATTTGTTTCAAAAAAAGCAAAATTCTGTGCGATCAATTTTCGAACGGTCAAAATTTGGTCACTCAAAATTTAGCCCATTTTGAAAACAAAAAGTGAAATTGTAAAATAAGCGATCTTATGTAAGTTGTAGAACTTTTCATTCTGCATCTTGTGGTGTATTTTGTTTTTCAATAATACTTCTTAGATGATGCAAAAATAAGGCACAAAATTCGACCATTTAATCTTCCCCAGTCGTAACTATAAATAAGTTTTCTTATCTACACATCAAATATTGGAAAGAAATTTTGTCTGAATCACAATCACCTTTACAAGCAAATTCTATCTTGACGTTTGAAGAAGTCTTATTTATATCGGAAGGCAGCAAAAAGAATCATACGACCATAATACACAACATTGCGAAAAAAATCAATAAACATATTAGGCTTCATACAATTTTTGCGTCTCAAAACAAGAACGAGAAAAAAAAGTATTTTTGTTTTTTTCTTGGAAGGCGAATAAATTTGCTTCAGGTAATAGGGTGCATTTGGGATTTATAATGGCATCAAATAGACAAATGCAACAAACACGATATCGACGTGATTCTACAGAATCAGTAAGAAAAAATTAACAAGAGTATTTCTAATGAATATTTAGGATATATATATATATATAATTTATTTATTTTGTTAAAAGACATCATCGTTGTGGGAAAAAGTTTGTGAACGATTCCCATCAAAGAAACAAGGCGCCCCATTTGCTAATGATGAAAATAATGATTCACTTGATGATAATCCAACAATTGATGATGATAATGATGATGAGTATGAAAGTGAAAGTGACACATCGTCACCTACTCAGAAAAGTCCACCTAGTCTTAACATAAATCAAAAATCTCAACCATGGGAAACACCAACAAAACAAGACGATTTAATGATTATTCTAAATGATGACCAGAATACTGACAAAATTAAACGTATTATTAAAAACGAGTTTTCACGACAAGGTTTGCAATGGACAGATAAAGAAGAAGATTTACGTCCATGGCATTTTGGATTAACATCAATACGTATTCACTTTACCCAATCACAAAACATTGACATCTCGAGACTTTCTTTTTCTTCATCTATGCCTATTTGGATGTCATTAAAAAAAGAAAAACAACAGTATAAGTTAAATAAGGATATGTGTAAAAAACCAAACCGCCATAATCTACAATCAGATTTTGCTGTTTCACTTCGTTATGGTGCACTTATTGACTTAAATCAATTTTTTTATTCAAAAGATCATTCATGGGATAACAATGCACGTTCAAAATG